TAAAGCCTCAGGAATCTATTGGTTACTTATTGACACCTGCCGGACGTATAGTTCATGCGCAGCGTGTCTTTGTTTACAGTGCGTTTTTGAAATGATGCAAAAGGCCTTTGAAAGCGAATGTATGAGCAATACTCGAATAAAAGAGTGGTATAAACGGTTCAAGGATGGTCACACTTATGTCGATAGTGATTCTCGTTCCGGCCGACCATCGACGACAAAAATCGCAGATAATATTGAGCGGGTGCCACTTGCAATCAAACAAGATCGTCGTATGACTGTGCGACAACTAGAAGAAGACCTTGGGATACCAAAAACTATCATTTCAGAAATTACAACCGAAAATTTAGGAATGAAACGCGTGTGTGCGAAATTCATCCCAAAATTGCTCACAGCAGAGCAGAAGAACATTCGCTTAGAAATCGCTCTGGACAATCTGGAAATGGTCAATAATGATGATAATGTGCTTAGAAAAGTTATTACAGGTGATGAATCATGGGTTTATGGTTATGATCCTGAAACAAAACAACAATCTTCACAGTGGAAGCATTCTGAATCACCAAGACCAAAAAAGCACGTCAAAGTCGGAGCAATGTTAAGTCAATGTTGATTGTTTTTTTTTCGATTGTGAAGGTGTTTTACATCACGAATATGCACCAACAAGTCAGACAATCAATAAAGAATACTACGTTCAAATTTAAAACGTTTGCGTGATACAGTATGAAGAAAACGGCCGCACTTTTGGGAAAGTGTGACTGGATTCTCCATCACGATAATGCGCTAGCGCATTCATACAATCTTGTGCAGCAGTTTTTGAGCAAACACAATATCGCATTGCTTCGACAACCTCCATACAGTCCCGACATAGGCCCCTGGTGACTTACCCACGTGTTATTCAATCAAGTGGGGATTACTTTGAAGGATGCCACCCACCAGATGATAAAGAATAAGGCTAGCACGAAAATATAAAGGTAGGCCCGATACTTTCCGGACAGACCTCGTATAGTAGTTGCTACAATCTTTATTTATTCGAGCTTTGAATTTTCATGTCGTTGATACTAATGATTGTGATCGAAATATCACATTTGTTTATGTTCAACGCAATATTTTTTGATGAATTGTTTTATTTCAAGATCAATATTAAAAATATCGTTTTTCTTCAAAATCAGCTATCTACAATATTTTTTATTGAAAATGCAAACTTGGTATATTGTAAATAATTTGTACTTACCTTCGCTCATCTTAAATAAATAAATGTGCAATCAGTCTATGTATAGTCGTTAAATTAAGTCACTGCCTCTATAAGTTAAAGGCGCAATTTTTATGGATTCTGTATAATAATTGTATAATAATAACATTTGTGTTATATGTTCTTTAGAAAGTAGCTTTCACATTAACCTTTGTATTTGTTTTTATCTGAATTAAATGACTGAGTCCCATCAATTGTGGGGAAACCAACGCCACCTCAATCATATCATACGATTCACAATCATATATCGCATCACTGCATGTATATGCGACGACGGGTGGTGACACGCGTGGTTGCCATGTGACAGACACCTACATATGTTACACATGTGCTATCGCCTATTTCTTAGCATTGGCGCATTCTTCAAAGTTCATTGTCCAAGTAGATATCCTACAGAAAACAAAACACTATCATTTTACAGCTTTGTGTTGTCTTCTAAGGTACTAAGGTACTGACTAAATATTTGTTCTCATAGAAATTTATTGTATAAACATGGATGGAATAATGTTTAATATTAAACAGAAATTTTGAAATTATGAAGATTTTGACAATCAACTTGCGAAATATTAACAATCAACAGGTTACAGAATGGTAGCTATCGACAGTAAAAAAAATAAAGAAGGTTTCGAATTTTTGTACAAAGTCCTCAAATGGACCAAGTCTGGTACTGCGAACAGCGAGAGTAAAGGTTACAGACATTAAAGAGTAATAAATTAAAAGATAATATTTATTTTTTGCCTATGGGTAAACATTTACATATTTTGGCAACGTAATTTTTCAATTTGTTTTACATCATCTAGATCTCAAAAAGTGAACTGCCCTTTTATTATATGCATCAAAATAACAAAAGATAAAAAATCTTTAGTGATCAGCCAATTATATTTATTGTACAATCATATTGCAGATGTGAGTATTATATTGTATCTCTTTTGGTGCATTAAATACGTTATATTTATACTGTTATATCTGTTTATTTTCAGTATGATGTATTAAACACTACTGATGGTAATAACAAATCTTTGATGTAAATGTACAATTTACTGAAAGCAATAAATCATTGGCTATATGTTCAGAAAACAATAACTCTTATGAGATAAAAATGTTCATTAAGATATATAAAATGTTTAAATATAGTATTCTCTGCTACAAATTATTAGCCAAACTTGTTAAATAAATTAATTTTATAGTAAAATTGCACAGTATACGAGGTGTGTTCAAAAATTAAGGTGACTTTTCAAATTTCACGGGGAACGTACTTTCGATTATCGATTTTTTTGTTTTGTTATGTTGGTAAACTTTTCCCGAACATCTGTACCAAGTTTCAAGTGAATAGCATTTTTTGTTTGGTTGTGAGAGCCGTAAAGGTTATAAGTGTTTTGCATGCTCGGCGATTTCTTGCTATCGAAAAATATGGATCAAAGGATTTGCATCAAATTTTGTGTAAAAAATAAAATAAAGTGCTCCGAAACACTTGAAATATTGACGGTGGCATACGGTGAAACTGTTCTGAGTAAAAAAAAGTGTTTACAAGTGGTACAAACTCTTACAAGATGGCCGGGAAGATGCCAATGACGAGCCTCGCTCTGGACGCCCAAGCACGTCAACAACTGATGAAAACGTTCAAGCAGTGAAGAAAATTGTTCTGGAAAATCGTCGATTCACTATCAGAGAAGTTGCTGAGGATGTTGGTATATCGCTTGGCTCGTGCCATGAAATTTTTTCTAACGTTTTGGGCATGAGACGTGTGTCAGCGAAGTTTGTTCCGAAATTGCTAAATTTTGACCAAAAGAACCGTCGCATGAGCATTGCTCTAGAACTGTTGAATGACGTCAACGACGACCCAGAATACTCAAAAACGTCATAACTGGTGATGAATCATGGGTATATGGTTATGATATCGAAACCAAAGTCCAATCGTCCCAATGGAAGAGCCCAGATGAGCCAAGACCGAAAAAAGCACGCCAAGTTCGATCAAATGTCAAAATTTTGCACACTGTTTTCTTCGATTACCATGGCGTGGTGCATCAGGCGTTCTTACCATTTGGACGTACAGTCAATAAACAGTATTATCTTGAAGTTATGCGCCGTTTGCGAGAAGCAATACCAAGAAAACGCCCAAAATTGTGGAAAAACAATTCATGGCTTTTGCATTACGATAATGCCCCTGCTCACTCATCTTTGCTTGTGAGAGATTTTTTGGCCAAAAACAAAACCACAATCGTGCCTCAGCCACCATATTCACCGGATTTGGCCCCATGTGACTTTTTCTTGTTCCCAAAACTAAAGAGTCCTATGAAAGGACGGAGATTGGCAACGATTGAAGAGATAAAGACTGCATCGCTGGAAGAGCTCAAGGCTATACCGAAAAGTGCATATGAGAAGTGCTTTGAGGATTGGAAAAACCGTTGGCATAAGTGTATTATATCTGAGGGGGTTTACTTTGAAGGAGACAACATAAATATTGATAAATAAATAAATATTTTTTCTTAAAAATACAACGTCACCTTACTTTTTGAACACACCTCGTATAATTTGTTTTTATACTGGGACATTGAAAGTAATATAATCTATTTTATAGGTCTTCATTTGTAACGCTTTGTATTTTGTGGAAATAGACAAAATATCCACAAAAGAAAATGTAACTGACACTGAGAACGGATATTTAAGCATAAAAGACGGTTATAATGGTACAGATAATCAATATGAAAATATAAATTTAATTAACGTTCCCAAAAATAATGATAAATAAGATATTAAGGTCATTGGTGGAAAAAATGATAATGACAACAGAGAAGAGAATCTAAATGAAGTTGATAACAATGACAAGAAAATAGATACAGTCGAACCTACGGCACTGCACGCTTTCGGGAGTAGCCGACCCAAGGCACTGCACGCTGGCGGTAGCCAATCACAGCGCTGAGCCAGGTACGGGCATATGTAGCACTAAAAGAGCCCCAAAAAAATTTTCGCGCAATTGTTCGTAGTTGTTTAATTAAGCAGGATAATTTTTTTATTTAATAGAACAATATTGGATTTTGTCGGCATTAAAATAATTCAATTAAAATTACTTTTTTTAGTTTTAATAAAAAATTTGAAAAGTTGAATGAATAAAACCATTTTAAATACAAAAATATAGGAGTTAAAGCTCGGTAAAGAGGGCCCCCCCGGTGGCCAAAATCAACGATCCAAGCGCTCAGTTGGCCGAATGGAAGACCTTGGTGTCAAAGTCAAAGTCATTAAGTGGACGACAGAGAGAGGTGTTAGAAAAAGAGAAAGAGAGAGAGGCGTGCGTGCCCCACGCAGGTTTAGGCAGGCACGTGACGCGTAACCAATTAGCGTATTGGTCGTGCGCCGCCTAATAAGTAGGTCAAGTGGGGAGAAAAAAAGTGAGCGAGGAAGCTGTCGATTACGGAAGCGAGCGAGCAGTCAGACGGTTCTAAGTCGGTCAGCGGTGCAGTCAGTGCAGAGTACAGAGGTAGAAGTCAGCCAAACACGCACACGCCAAGGAGCTGAGACGGAGAAGGCAAAGGACAAGTGCCTTTCACCAACATTTTTTTTATGCGTAGTATGTGTTAGTGACACCGTTGTGTTCAATAGAATTTAAGGCGTGTTAATCTTCGTTGTTCGATAGTTTAAGGTTTTGTAAGTTGCGGTAATAATAATAAGGTAAAAATTATTTAATGATATTTGAAACGTGATTTTAATTGTATTTCTTGACCTTTCCCTTCCTCTCCTTGATTGCGAGTGCGCCTCACTTATCCACCTTTGAAAATTGATAACGATGCGAATTTCGTTACAGACGTAATGGGTCCAATTACACCTGCGAGTTTTCCCAAAGGTCATCAGTACATTTCTGTGTTCATGGACCACTTTTCAAGGTTAGTTATGGCTTATTCCATGAAAGCAAAAAGCGACACGAGTCATTGCCTAGAGGTAAAAACAGGAGCAGTAGAAATTTGCTGGGCTATGATGCGATGGTGTGTTATCTCAGGACCGATCAAGGAACCGAATATACGGGTGGATACGCGGTAGAGGTGCTTCAGAAATTAGGTGCGGAACTGCAGCTAATTTCTGAAGTCCTGGCCCCACAGGATACGCCAGAACATAACGGTGTGAGTGAGCGCGTTCATCTTCAAAATTTATAACACCATTGTTTCTGCCTTTTTGGACTTTTTTGATATTGTTGCTTGATTTTTTGCTTAGCTGTACAATTAATGCCATTTTGTAGAGATCATGTTTTATTTCTTTTGCTTATAGCGTTTAAGTTTTTTTTCTTTTTTGTATATTTTCTTGGCTGATAGAGCTATCAGACGAGTAGGATAATTGTAATTTATATGTTCTGTTTTTAGGAATATTCAGCTCACTTTTGCTGTCAAGTGAATGCAATTCCTTATTGACTTCTTGTTCATTAAGTTTTTCAAGACAAGATTCTGTATAAGAGTCACTCAAACTTTTATGGTCTGACGTCTTATTTGGTACATATTTTGATCCAGATGTTCCTGATTCTGATTCAAATTCTTCAAAGTCGTTGTCAGATATCGTTTCCTAAATTGTAGAAATTGAAAAATAGAACAATGTTGGAACAATACATTTTATCTACTTCATACTTATGAAATTTTTTATTAAAACTTTTAAACTTAAATGAATATCAGGTATTTAAGCCAATAAAACAATTATTGCAATATTAAAACTTTTTAAAACTAAATTTTTAATCTATAAAAAACAATCTTAAAGTAAAATTGTTAATCTGTAAAATCTCAGGATCGTATATATTCAATTCAAAGCTCAAATAATAAGTTACGTATTCTCAGTTATGAAGTGCGATCATGACCATGGCAAATCCAGACAAAAGAATTTCACTAGAATAACGAGCATAGATTTTAGATTGTCATTTAAATTGCATGAACAATTACAGATTTGGTTTTGCATATGACGTTAGTCCATGGCTGAGTTATTGCACGAAGAAATCATTGGACCTGTTAGACATTCTAACACGGTGTGAGCAGCTTTATATTTTATTACATTATTAATAGGTTAACTATTTTAATACCATGTAAGCAGCGTTATATTTTATTTATTACGTTATTTCACTATTTCACGTCTGAAAATGCAGTTGATTATAATTGAACTTTAAAGAAAACAATGAATGCAAGAATTCTATGTAACTTGGATGATTTAACGAAATTGTTGAATGTTGATTGTTAATTTCTGGGGTATGGATCAATTAATAAATTAATTGATAGCCATGTTTCATAGTAATAATAATATAAGAACGATTATTTATTGAAAATTTGTAAAGATTACTATGATACAAAATGATTACATATTTCACTTATACACTCACGGAAATGCTCTCGCTTGTTAGCTATATGGCTTAGTATATTCCTACAGATTATATCATACGTACACTCTATACAGGGTGATTCAAAAATATATGTAAGTATGGATACCGTTGGATTCGTCTTGAAAAGTTATTCAAGACGCCATTATTAGTTTTTTTCCGATAATTAGGTAATTAGATAATTAACTTGAAAGATCGATCAATCAGCGCGCGGCTAGGTGGGCTAGCCAGCGCGCGTCGCGGCTATATGGAAGCGGTGCTCAACCTTGATGCGCGACATGAGTTCCCCAAGCCGACAGACTCATATTCATTTTATAGATCGAGTCCTATCGATTGATCGACAATAATATAAAATTATGAGGACGCACGATTAAGTGACAAAATAAATAATCCAATTATAATTATTTCATAGACCATGTAAATATTGTAGCATCACATACGCTTTAATTCATGCGAAAAGCAGCGCCCAAAAGCCAGATTAAAATGATAAATTTGTCAATGTGATTATTCGCACCAAGATTATGGTAATTACAAGACTGCAATCATGTAATTACGTCACTTGTAGAGTAATGTTCTTGGGGTTGGATTCTGAGTGTCAGGTTAATTTTTCGACTAGCCTGGAGAAAAATTTCAGTTCCTGAGAAAATTTCTCCCCGAAATACTGGAAAATTTCTATTTTCGTTTTACGGCCGTTAAGATGAGTCTAGTAAAATAATGTTAATTGAATAAAATATGTTACGTGACAGTTTTGATGTCTTTTCAAAACGGCCACGTGTTAGACCGTTTTTAGCTCCGAGTGGTCCTGAATCGGGCGAATTGAACCTTCAGTACGGTACCCCGACCGTGTCAGCGAATGGATCGCGTTTTTGCCGATAATATCCGAAATTCGTCCACACGAGCGGTAAGCGAGAGTAATGGGAAAAAAGGGGGGGGGGGGGCTCGCTGGTTTATTAAAATGAACTTACACGGGTACGTAGGATAGATTTATATATATTTTGATACATAAGATAACACGTCTAGTAATGATATCGCGCTACTATCTAGTTCACGATTTATTAAAGAAATGTTCTAAAATGCGCGGTCGGTCGTCCTTACACACCTGGTCCCGGTACGCAAACAAATGGATTCACCGAAAGGGGAACCTTGAATATGATAAGTAGTAGTGATAAGTAGTAGAGAGAGAAAAAAAAATACAAGGAAGAGATTTCGGTTTATCGAGAATAGAGGCCGGAAGTACTCACTCTGTTGTTTTGGTCCGAAATATTGTTTGGTTCGTTATGTGGGTAATCACTCCTTTTGAATTCGGTTAGATTAACTGGTCCAATATATATTTCTTTTATCCAATAATATTCCAATACGAAATAAAGTGAATATTGCTATGATTTTCGTTTACACAAAATTGTTAGAAATAATGGTACTCGGTATTTCGAATATTTAATTATAACTCTTATATTCTCAAACTCTTAAATTATAGATTTAACTTTAGTAGGAAAATTGCAGGCTTCTTAGTCGAGCGCTCACTCCTGACTGATTAATTCGCTGGCTCTGCTTTCGCTGGTTTATTATATAGCCTTTGTCCCTAGCATACCGTCTCTCTCTCGCGCATATGCTTTAGACGTTTACGCTTCTCGTAGTGGCTCGTCTTACCTAGCTAAGCACGCCGACTGCAGTATGCTGTCACAGCATGCTGACGCAGCGTGAATCAGCCTCTGCCGCTCATTCCCACCGAGTCGTGCCTACGAATACTGCTAGCTATACTGTGTCCGAACGGAAATCCCGAAAGGAAAATATTATTCGATAGTATATAATTGTAATATAATAGGCCGTCACGTAACAAAATAATATTCATTTTAAGCTCCGAATTAAATCATAGTATTTAAAACTAAACAAATGTTGTAATTAATATTATAAAAAAAAACTAAATAGTGTTTTAGCAGCCATAGTAGTTTCATAATAAATCAGACGAGTTCACAAATAATTAATCATAAGATTTCTGTATTTTTGCGTGATATAAATTTATTATTGATTTCCTAGTCTTAAGTAACAATGTTGAATTGCAATTAAGTACTGCGACAAACACCTATTTGCTGAAATTAATTAATAATTATTGATAATAAGAGGACTTTTTCCAGGACTTTTTCGAGGACTTGTTTGAGGACTTTTTCGAGGACTTTTTTGAGGACTATTTTGAGGACTTTTTTGAGGACTTTTTCGAGGACTTTTTTGAGGACTTTTTTGAGAACTTTTTCATTTTGAAATATGATATTTATTTTCAAAATTATTTTCGAACATCATTTTGACATTTTTTAATAACTATACTTTTATTATTTTATTGACAAAATTAAATACTTATTATATTGCTATACTTTTTATAGCTAGTTATTTTTATTTCGGTTACGTAAATTATTACACATTTTGGTGAGTAATTTTCTGTAATCTTCACTCACGAGCCTTCGATCTGCTGCCAATTGATTACACAGGTTTACAAAATAAAAAAAGTTGATGCCTATTTGACCAGACCATATAACTTTTATGTATTTTGATGCGCTGAACACGAATCCGAGGTCCGTTGATCTCCATCACGTCAGGTTCAAGGTTTTTCGAAGGTCAAATGTATTTAATACAACGGAATTTAAAATTTGACTACGGATTCGGAAAGAGCGGGAAATTTTACGTTCAAATACATATTGTTGGTTTTTTCCAACATGACCTTTGAAGGACATCTAGAGCTCAAACAAATAATAAATAGACCTTATTTGCTTTTTATCCATATGAACTTGTTTTTGAGACCTCCGATGGGCTTCTATTGTATACTGTCATGTATCTTTGTATTCTGAATACAAACCTGGAATCCATTTGACCTCATCCAGTTAAGATCAAGGTCACTTCAAGGTTAATTCGTTAATTTTGCACAAAAAAAACAAATATAACCCTAGTCTTTGAACCCTGGTTGCTTTAACCCTCGAGTCCTGCATCTCTGCGTGACTATAACCCTTTACTCTCAACCTCCGATCTCCATATCTTAATTTTTTCAGCCCCGAGCCCGGTAACCTGCAACTCTACAACCCCGACCTTCACATCCTAATTTCATGAACCCCTGATGCGATGAACTTCGATCTATATCGCGAAAGGCTTTTGAGCGTACAGAGGCGAGGGGCCTTGAGGACATCTAGCGCATACTGGACGGTCTCGAGGGAAGCTATTCTGGTTGTCGATAGTGTAATCCCCGTAGATCTTCTTACTAGGGAGCGCAAGAGGATCTATGACAGAAGATTAAACGAAAATAAAGTAGAAGTAGCCAAGGAGGAGAGTAATAGAATAATAGAAGTATGGCGAGAACGGTGGTCGAGAGATGGTAAAGGCGTATGGACGAGAAGCTCAATTCCCGACATTAGGGCGTGGATGGAGAGGAGCTTCGGAGAAGTGAACTTCTACCTTACGCAGATGCTTACGTGCTATGGGTACTTCAAATGCTACCGGGATTCTTCGAATAGTAAAGTAGAGAACAGGGTTGTAGATAGGAGGATTCGCTTGCTTTTTACCACTGCATAAAAAATCTCGAACACGGCATAGCAAATTCTACACGCCCCGACCTTGATATTCTCGAAATCGAATTGAAATCCAATCGAAATTTAAGATCTTCTAACTTTCTAAAGTCAGTTAAAGGTATGAAAATCAGGAAATCTCTGAAATTTATATTAAGTATTTCAATGTCATGGTGAAACAATCATTTTTTATTATAATCTCATGGAGGGTACTTCTTAACATAGAGGTTTATGTCTCTTACTCTGTTAAGCCACCACTCTTCAATGTAAACGTGCTTTCTTGCTAGGTCTACATCTTTCATCGAATGTTCTTTTCAGCGCTTTTCTCTTGTGCTTAACTGAAGTATCCCTCTTATGGTTCCAGCAGTAATCTGACATCATATTGACATCCCAAAATCCTTGATAGTGCCTTTCCATCTCTTTAATGTCTTGATGAAATCTTTCACCTTGCTCTTCACTATAATCTCCTAGATTTTCTGGAAATTTGTCCAAATGAGAATCTAAAAAGTGGAGCTTCAGACTCATGAGACATTGAACAGCTTTGTGGTTTACGACCAAGTCGTTGACTATTTCTTTATAATTTTGATCTCTGTTGTTACC